AGTTTTATTACTGTAGTAGGAAAAATAAAAATACAATAAAATTCTGAGTCTGTGTGTCTGTATGTATAAGCATCACATTTGCAGTACAGTTGGAATTGTTCCAACTCGGGTCTGATGGGTTAGGGGTCTGGTATGGTTTGATCTACAGTCTTGCAAATGACTGAATTTTTAATTAGTTTCATGTGAAAATTATATTTTGTAGGTAGAAGGCAGTGCAGGTAGACAAAGATTACAGATATTCTGCCTATCTTGGCAGAATTCAGCAGCTATCATTTTTGTATCCTCATTAGACTTTTTCCAAATGGAATTTATCACAAATAACAAGGGAAAATAATAAAGGAATATATAAATAGAAGTCTAAACCAGTGTGCATTAGCTGCTTGTCAAGTATGTTTTTCCTAATGAATATCCTTGTGCTCTCTATCTCTCTGCTTATAGAAAACCAACTTTCATTAGTCATTAAAAATAAGTCTTGGTGCCACCTTATTTACATTCTACTGAAAATAATTAGCATTTTATATTAGAATTATTCAGGGCACTTCTGAACTTGTAGTAGGACCATCTGACATCATCCAAATGCATAATTCCGTTCAGAACATGTCTGAAAACACAATCAGTGATTTTTTAGTTATAACAGTGTCACAACTGAATTCTAGCACGGTTAATATTGTATATGAGGGAATCAAAACTCTACTGTAATTAGGCCTTCCTTTTAAGCCATGCTTTTCTAGTGGCAGAACTGTCAGAGAAGGGGAAGAATTGATAGTCAAAGCCTATAACAACTCAGAACTCTAAAATCATTGCTAACTCATGAACTCCACCACTGTAAATAAGGAAAGGCACTGTGTGTGTGGTTTGTTTTTTTAAAGAGTAATCAGCGTTAAGTGACTTGCCCAGGGTCACAAAGCTAATAAGTGCCAGAGACCAGATTTGAACTTAGATCCTCCTAAGTCAGGGGCTACTACTCTATCTACTATGCCACCCAGCTGCTCCACTAAATGTACTTTTCAAAAAGAGTTTTATTATAAAAATAGAGACATGCATGAATTACTATTATCTGTTTTGACAAATGATGTCCTTTCTCCATTTAAATATTTTTAAATTCTTATTAAAACAAACCTTGCAACTAAGTTGGAAGAATGTAGTTTTAAAATATAACTGCCATTTTTAGCATTGTCAACATATTAGGAGACACTGTCTTCCAGAGCTAAGGCCCAGCAAGCAGGCTGTGCCCTGAGCTTAGCGTAACAACAATCCTTTGTGCTCTCCCTCTGGCAAAATCATATAACTATCCCATTGCTTTGACCCGGTGTTCTCTGAGTTTGGACAAGCACCGGACAAGAACCCATGTTCTGGTCATAAAGCCCTGCTATGAATCAAACTTGTCTCACTGTTATCCCTCATTGTCATAGCTACAGCCCACTGCACAGCCAGTGGCATAAGTATTAAGATATCCCCACACTGCCTCGGGCTCCTTCCCTGAGGACAGGGCCCTGGTACATGTGTTTAGATCCTTTCTTGCTTGCAAGCTGTTTCCCTCACTTTAAAATTAAACTTCTGTTTGATTCCTGACTCTCTTGTCTCTAGTCTGTTCTGTTTGGCCCAGTCCAGTTGACAGCATATAGGATAAAACTTATGTTATTATGGATAATAAAACTAAATTTCATATTTGTGCTAATTCTTAGGTTCAATAACAGGTAAGTCACTTAATTTCTGTCAGCCTCAGTTTCCTCATTTGTAAAATGGGGATAATAATACCTACCTCACAGTGTTGTTGTGAGGATCAAATGAGATGTGATAGGACAAAGTTGCTCTCAGAACCCGACTGGACTCAACTTCTCCTTCTTGGCTTCTTTTCCAAAGTCTCAGCTAACATGGGGCAACCCCACGTCAAACCTTTTCCTGGGACTTTATTTGCCCTGGATTCACTGACACAGTTTCTTGGTATCTAGGAGCATAATAAGTCCCAACTATTAAGAGGGTGGGCCTCTCAGACTTAGTAGAAGCCTAAGACTAAGTCACCCAACTAATAACACAATAACCAGATTGCATTTCCAGACTACAGGCTTGTGGCCAAAGAGGCTAAATGTCACTGTATCCTTGTTGTCATCTTGCTATTAGGGCACAGTAAACCTCTTTTGTTAGATGTTCAATGACTTATAAGTGCCTGATTTCATCTCAACGTCAAATATGAACTAAGAGGGAGCTAATGTTAGAGCTTCAACTACAAGATGAGTACAATGCTTTTCAAACAATAAAGTGCTATATAAATGCTATTTTTATTATACCACATAAATGCTTTATATATGGTATAAGCCACAGAAAGGCGTTATTTCTCAGATTCTTTATATAAACAGCATTACCTGATCCAAAGTTAATTGCTTTCCTCATAAAACAAAACAAAACAAAACAAAAACCAGCCCCTGGCCATTTCAGGTCTGTAGAGCCATAATGTAAGGAATCCTAGAGTTTTAGCACTTTGTAGAACTAGCGGTATTAGTTTTGTTGGATAATAATTAAGCTTATACGGGGCACACCTTATTAATTACAAAATATCTAGGAATGTGGTGTTTTAACTTATCAGCTTTGGCAAGATGCTTTAGGCAAATACTACCAAGTATTTATATAAAGATTTTTTCCTGATTCCAAGTGTTCCTCAAAAACCAATAGAAAGGTATATCTCAGGAAACCATTAGCTAAAATAGTCCCAATCTCTGCTTGTGGGAATAAAGGAATATAGAGAATGAGATCAGCCTCAAGAGCAGATCTGATAATATGTTACATTATGGATTCCGGTGTGGCAGATATGGCTCTCCTGCCCTTTAATGCTAGCAGAAGTGATTATTATTAGAAAACATCAAAGCATTTATAGGTACCTGCAGGCATGGTATATACAGTCTGAATGTGAACTACAACAAATACATACTAAAAAACTATTACAGGGGCAGCTAGGTGGCAAAGTGGATAGAGCACCGGCCCTGAAGTCAGGAGGACCTGAGTTCAGATCCGACCTCAGACCAAGCACTTTTGACACTTACTAACTGTGTGACCCTGGGCAAGTCACTTAACCCCAACTGACTTAAAAAAAAAAGCAAACAAAACAAACAAAAAAATATAAAAAACTATATTACTTACAAAAGAAACAGAGAAAATAAAGTCATAGTAGTCTGAATAAATGTAGCACTATCTAAGGGAAAGAGTACTGGAGTGGGAGTCAGAGGACCTGGGTTCAAATCTCAGCTCTGTCACTACTTGTTTGAGCTCTCTGATTCAGTGTCCACATTTGCATAGTGAGGGATTGGACTAGGTTCCTTTGAACATCTCTTCCAACTGCAAACCTGTGATTCCATGATCCTAGCAAAGTCAAGAATATTAGGAGACTGGTGAATTAATCTGGGAAAATTTCATGAGGAAGGTTGACTTGTAATAAAATTCTGAAAGAGGGATATAGTCAAGTAATATTCTAAGTTCAAAGATATTTGAATAGAAAGAAATCGAAGAGATGTTTTAGCATTCTGTGCAGAGAACTTATTAATGGAAATCAAATTTTATAGTTTATAATAGTCAATAGTAGAAGACTGAAATTATTTTCCCTTGGTCAAGGCCACTAGACTACTATCTACAACAGAAAAATGATGCTATGGTTAATACTAATTAATCACATTCCCCAATGATTCACAGTGGTTTAATATCATGTGTTGATTTAATCCAGGCATTTCTCATAATAATAGCTTTATGGAAGTCTTCTGAGGCACAGGCTGTAGATTTTATGACAGTAAATCAGTAATAGAATTAGGGCTCTGAGATCTTCGAATTTTATAAAAGTAGCAGTACATAAAATAGAAATTTTTCTAATCTTAGATTCAGAAATTTTCAGCTCAGCTGTATTGCTGTTCATGAAATGCTAAGCAATCCAAAACTTAAAAATTTCCCTTTTCTGTTACACTGTAAATAACAATCTTCCTTGGATATAGTAATAATGTCTTTTAGTCATTCTTCTAAATTCTTTAACCATGGTGATCACTGTAATTACATAGCAGACTTCATAATGTGACAATTCAATTTATAGGTCAAAAATATTATGTGGAACCACCTATTAGTAGAAGGCTAACAACAGTGTCTTATAGTTACCAAAATGACAATTTTGTTGTTTATGTTCAAAATGTACTAAACCATATTCTCTAAGGGGTTTCCTTTTGAACTTCAAGAAATTATCCAAATATAGTTTACATAGGGATACTGTGTTTGTATTTATAGCCTCTATTAATTTTCCTATGTTGCTGAACGTTGATAAAGGTGTATGTTTCATCCTAAACCGAATTTTAAAACATCCATTGTGAACTGAATACCCATCTCAAACTCAACATATCCCAAAACAGAACTTATTAGCTTTCCCTCTAAACTCTTCTTTTTCGTTCCCCCTGCCTTACTGTTGAGCAGCCTTTCAGTCACCCACGTTCATAACCCTGATGCCTTTGCACCAAAGGGTTCATTTTTGTCGAGATAAATGGGTTCATTACAGCAAAGAGAAGCAGTGGCTTGCTACCCTTACTGTGGTAACATGTGGCTAACCAAGGCTGCTCCCAAGAGTAAGTTCTAGTTGAAACTGTGTGCGTTTCTATCGACCTTCCCGACTCCACAGCCGGGCCGGCGGATACTCATCTCACTTCAAGACAGCACATCGAAAACACCTAATCAGGGCCGAGGACGGCCGGGGAGGCCAGCTGGCCTGCAGACACAGGTGCCGCGGCTGCCCACGGCCACACCCTTTCCTCGCCCCACGAAGGATGGGGGAGGGGGTGCTCCTACAGCCGGTTTTTTTCTTCTTTTTCTACCTCCACGACATCTTCCCTCACGCAGCCCGGGTCTGCTGCCCCGCGCTCCAGCGCCTCCTTCCCTCTCTCTCTGCAGCCTCGGCAGCGACTGCGCGGTGACGGCCGGGGGGCGCCGCGACCGCGGCGGCGGAAGCTGCGGCAGCGGAAGAGGCAGCAGCGGCGGCGGCGGAAGCTAAGGTAGCGGCGGCGAGAGCGGCAGCAGCGCGGAGGGGCGGTGGCAGCGGCTGCGTTCAGGGCCCCTCTGGCCGCCTCAGGTTCGAGTGTCCCCGGGCCCAGGGTTTGGGTGAGGGTGGGCCATGCAGGAGGCGGAGGAGCCCGCGCCCCCTCCGCGGCAGCCGCCTTTGCCCCCCGTTTATATCTACAGCCCCGAGTACGTCCGCACTTGTGACTCGCTGGCCAAGGTGCCCAAGCGGGCCAGCATGGTGCATTCCCTGATTGAAGCCTACGAGCTGCTGAAGGAAATGAGGGTGGTAAAGCCGAAGGTGGCTTCCATGGAGGAGATGGCCAGCTTCCACACGGACGCCTATCTGCAGCACCTCCAGAAGGTCAGTGAGGAAGGGGATGACGAGCATCCCGACTCCGTGGAGTTCGGCCTGGGCTACGACTGCCCCAGCACGGAGGGGATCTTCGATTACGCGGCCGCAGTGGGGGGCGCCACCATCACGGCGGCCCAGTGCCTGATTGATGGAAAATCTAACATAGCCATTAACTGGGCCGGAGGCTGGCACCACGCCAAGAAAGACGAAGCCTCGGGCTTCTGTTACCTCAACGACGCCGTGCTGGGGATCCTGCATTTGAGGAGGAAGTTTGACCGCATTCTGTACGTGGACCTGGACCTCCACCACGGAGATGGCGTCGAAGATGCTTTCAGTTTTACTTCCAAAGTCATGACTGTGTCCCTGCATAAATTCTCTCCAGGTTTTTTTCCAGGAACTGGCGATGTGTCTGATGTGGGCCTCGGGAAGGGAAGGTATTATAGCGTCAACGTGCCCATTCAAGACGGCATACGAGATGAAAAGTATTATCAGCTCTGTAAAAGTGTCCTCAAGGAGGTCTATGTAGCCTTCAACCCCAAAGCAGTGGTTTTACAGTTAGGAGCCGATACCATCGCTGGGGACCCGATGTGCTCATTTAATTTGACTCCAGTGGGACTCGGGAAGTGTCTTAAGTACATCCTTCAGTGGCAGCTGGCCACCCTCATCTTGGGAGGAGGCGGCTACAACCTTGCTAACACAGCCCGATGCTGGACATACTTGACTGGGGTCATCCTGGGGAGAACGCTCTCTTCTGAGATCCCAGATCATGAATTTTTCACTGAATACGGCCCGGATTATGTGTTGGAAATCACCCCCAGCTGCCGGCCTGACCGCAATGAGCTGCACCAAATCCAGCATATCGTGAATCGAATTACAGGGAACTTGAAGCATGTGGTTTAGCGGGGGTGGGTGATGGGTGGTGGTACTAGATCTGATTTTGACAGTATAGGAAAATTTCTTGTAAAGCTGACTTTGTGTTTTTTGTGAATTTGTGGCTGTGAGAAAAAATCTGGATGAGATTACTTCCTCACAACATCAAATGGCAGCTAGTTTTCCTGGGGTTCAGTAGGCAATCACCCCAGAGGTCTAAGTAGAGGGCTGAAGGGAGAAGAAAGGTAACTTAAGGTTCAGGTGCTTTTTCTGAAACATAGTTGAGACAAAATTAAGATTCCTTTTTAAAAAGGCAAAAGCAGTTTTTATTCTTGGAAATTATTTTCTGGTGAGTTTGGGGTGGGGAGTTTTTATTTTTTAAGCAAGAAATGCTTGGTTAGTTCACTGTCATTGATGAATTTGGTCAGCAGTACTACTAGTGGTCAAATATAATTTTTATTTTAAAAACATAAAAATTATATTTTAACTTCATCTCACCTGTAAAACAGTTGCATATATTGTATAATTATATTTTAATAAAGAGTTTTTAACAGATTCAGGTCAGGATTTCATCAGTATGGGTACAACAGATTACAGTAGGCCCATGGAAGTTTTTCCCTAAATTCTCAGTAAAGGATCACTCAGTAGTTTGGAAGTCCTTATTCTTGAATTTTTAAATATAATACATTTACATAGCGCTTTAAGAGGTTACGTTTTATAAGGTCTTTTAAAAATGTGCAAAGCACTTTACAAACATCATCTCATTGGTTTCTTACAACCAGTCTGTGAGATAGGTGCTATTATCCCCACTGGACAGATGAGGAAACAGAGGTTCAGAGAGAGGTGACAGGGATTGGCCTAGGGTCATACAGCTCAAAATTATCTGAGGCAGGATTCAAACCCAAGTTGTCCTGACTTCAAGGCTAGGGCTCTGTTCCTATTCAGTTCTGGGTATAGTTCATTGTCTATCTTCTGTACCTCTCTGTGTTTACATTGATGGACTAACTTGATAAACTTTTTGTCCAGGTACATATGTTAAAGTCTGGGTAATATGTATTTTTGATTCACTTTATTGTTCCAGTGTAAATGATTACAGTGCTAATATGGATTTCATTGAGGAGATTTTTCAGTATTCTGGGGATGAATTAATGTTGCCTATCAAAAGGAGCCTAGGGAGAGCCTCCCAATCAATAAGTAATTTTTTTTTTGGCTTGGATTATAACCAGGCATCAACTATGGCAGTGGCAGACTTAGGTAAGCACATCTCACTTTTATACCACACTTGATGAGAGTACTCAGTGGATCACTAAACAATGGTATTTCCATAGTTTTATCAATCTGAGTTAGTAATTAAGTTTGTGCAGAGGAGAAACCTTGTCTGCGAGGGCTTTCAAGGCTGTATTTTGTTCTACCAAGTCAAATACTTAAATTAATAAAACAGAATATAGTAGTAGTAGTAGTATCTTTTTTTTTCCTGTCAGTTCTGTAACTTGTGAAATCAAGATCTGGTTAGTTGTAATAAATCTACAAAAGCTCAACTATTCTTATATTTTCTATCTTTTTTTTTCTCTGCCAATTCTGTAACTTGTGAAATCAAGATCTGGTTAGTTGTAATAAATCTACAAAAGCTCAACTATTCTTATACTTTCTTCAGGAATTCCCTTGATGCATACAAAGTTCATTCTCATGAAGATTAAGTAGAAACGAGAAAGCAGGCATGTGGACCTGTGGTGGCTATTGTCTTCTTGGTCACTCTTTTTGATCAAAAGTACCCATCTGATATTTCTATTCTATGGAATCTTCCTTCCCCTCTCTGGAAGATCACAAACATCATTTCCTGAGTGACTTTAAAATGTCATGGATTTCTTCTGCTTGTATTTGATCATGTCTAGCTATTCTTTCTGATTTCATCTTAAATTGCATTTCCACTCTCTCACATAATGTATCCAATACTAAGTGGCAAAGTGTGAAAGTAGTTAAAACCCATTATCATAAAATAAAACTGCTATAAACCCCCAGCACATGTGCTCTATTTTGTATGTTTGTTTGTCTTCCTTCATTTTCCCTATAAATGCTCTTGGGACTATCTTGATTAGATGTTCCACAACAAACTCTCTTTAGGTTTGTTTTATCCCCAAATGCTTTTTCTTTCTTTCTTCTTTTTTTTGTGAAGTGATACTATTCAAAATCATTTGTCATACAGATCTGTGATATTTTCTAAATGACATTGTACTCATGTTCATAGAGTCAGTTGGTGCAGTGCATAGAAAGCACTGGACCTAGAGTCAGGAAAATGCTTAAAGACTCAGGAGGACTTGAGTTCAAATGTGGCATCTGATACTTAAAAGCTATGTGACCCTGGGGCAAGCACTTAACCTTTATTTGCCTCGGTTTCCACAACTGTAAAATATAGCATCTACCTCAGAGTAATTGTGAGGATAAAATGACATATTGGTAAAAAAGCACTTAGCATCATGCCTGGCACATAGTAGGTACTATATAAATGCTCATTCTCTTCTCCTTTCCCTCTTGCTCTAAATATGTTGCCCTTGGCAGCTAGGACTTTCAGCATATTCAAGGAATTTCTCTTTTGTTGAAGAGGGGCAGTTTCTGGGCTCTTTCAGCTTTCCCTTTGTTGTATCCTCAAGTACATGGACTGTGTCATATTTTATCCTTTCTCAAGACCTAGCACAATGAACAGAATACACGCTTAAGTGTCTATTAAATTAATTTTGTCCATATCCTATTTTTGCTCAACAGCTTGTTTAAAACAGCTTGGGCCAAGATACAGAGACAATGAATTAAAAAATATAAGACCAAAAATAATTTTCCCATAGAGAAGTCAAAAGATTGTAAACAAAGTTCTCAAAAGAATTATAAACCTAACAACCACATAAAAGAAGAATGTTTCAAATCACTAATACCAGGAGAGGTGGAAACAAAACAGTTCTGAAGTTTCACCTCTCACCAAGCATAGCAGTGACAGTCAATGCTGAAAGAGGTGTGGAAAGACAGACATACTAATTACATTGTTGGCAGATCTGTGAATTGGTCCAGCCATTCTAAACATAAATTTGGGATTATGGAAATAAAGTGGTTAAAAATTTCCACAGGTATGTGCTCCACTTTTTGTAGGAGCAAACAAATGAAAGCCAAGAAGATGCCCATAAGTTTGTAAATGTCTAAAGAAGTTGTGGTATATAAATGAGACAATATTATTGTACTGTAAAAATGAGAAAAAAGATTTAACAGAGAAGTGTGAGAAGATCCATGTGAGCTGATGCAAAGTGAGGTAAAGAAACAGCAAAACAATACACAAAATATACAAAAATGTATATATGTTATACAAAAATGTAAGTAAAATAAAGAACAATAAAACAATTTAAATGCTGCAAAATTATACAGACCTAGCTGGGCCCTAAAAAAAGATAGGAAAAGTATTCCCCTCCCCCCGGGCAGTCTGTAAAAGTGGGGGACTATGGGTATAGAACACAACATAATGTCAGATGTTTTCAATATGTTTAGTTTTGCTGCACTTCCCCCACCCATCCCTTTTCATTTTTTCATATAGCAAATGGCACTCTGAGAAGAATAAGAGGGAAAGAAACATTGGGAAATGAAAGTGATGTCAAAACAAAAGACATCAGAATTTTATTTAAAAACAAACATCAATCTGGAGTTACTGTATATCTTTTGATTTTTATGCTCAAATCTGATTTGGTGTTTATTTTTACTCACACTCTGATGAGAAGCTATATGGCAAAGGGACTAGAAACATAGAGAACTTGTCTCACCTCTCACGTATTGGCCAGGTTACCCTGGATGAGTCACTTAACCAATAAGTGAGCTAGGCAGCTAAGACTGTAAGTTACAGAATAATTGCTGATCTACATTAGTAGAGAGTTTCCTTACCAGAACTTCCCTATGCCAATGAAATCATAGGTCTGGATGAAATCAAACCTGTAAATATCCAGGGATAAGACTGAATGCAATTCTTAAATGATCACTATTTTCCATAACTCGTAAGGGACTCCAGGCTACATGCTCCCATCATCTGTCTCCATTCTTACACATTGCTGAATAGTGCTAAAGAAAGTCACATACTTGAGTGGACTAGGTTCACTGAATTTATGTAAAATAAGGTCCCTCCCCATAACAAAGCAATCTTTATACAGTTCTCTAATTTCATTCTATATACCAGTCTCCACAGAGGCTATTCAAATCTTTTCTCCTCAAGTCTCTCACATTTTCCCTTTCTGTAACCTCTAACAGAAGAGCTTGGATCATGTTTATGAAAAAATAAGATTTATGAGCTCCCTTTTCCCTGTTCTACAATTCCTACCTCTCCCCACCCCACTGAAATGTCTTGACAACATTTTCATTATCTCCATTATTCCAACCTCTAATAAAGACCTGGCCCTCCTTTTTGCAAGGCCAAGCTCTGTACTGGTACTCTGAATCTCATCTTCCTTCATCATCTTGCCCACCCCACCCCACCCCCCGCCGCATCCTGTGCTTTAGTCTCTCTCTGCCAACTGGTTTATTCCCTAAAGCCTATAAACATGCCCTGGTCACTACCATTCATTAAAAAAAAAAACAACCTCAGGATCCTCACATTATACCATTCTATATTTCTTTTCCCTTTCACTGCTAAACTCATTACCTCTACTTTCTCTCCTATTCCTCACTTCTTAACACATTGCAGTCTGGCATCCAGCCTCATTAACTCAACTAAAACTACTCTAAGACTCTCTTATCTTAGATATACTCATATCCCTAGGTTTTCATGACACTATTCTTGGTTTTCTTCCTGCGTGACCACTCCTCAGTTTCCTTCGCTGGCTGATCACCCATATCCTTCTTCCTAACTCTGGTATCAAGTCTCTGTCCTGAGTGCTCTTTCTCTACACTATCTTGGTGACCTCATCAGTTCCCATGGGTTCAACTGTCATCTATATACAGATGACTCACAGATCTCTGTATCTTGTCCCAGTCATTTTCCACAATGTCAGTCTCATGTCACCAGCTGCCTATTGGACATTTCACAACGGGTGTTCTGGAGACATCTCAAACTCAACATGTCCAAAATAGAATTCATTATCATTCTTCCAAAGCCCAACCGTCTTCAAAAGTCTCTTATTTTCATAAAAGGACACCACCAATGTTCCAGGCATTCTGGTTCATGACCTCAGTCATCCATGACTCTTCACTTTCCTTTGCCCTGCAAATCTAGTGAGCAGCCAAATCTTATTGGTTCTACCCCAGCATCTGTCTCTGCCCTTCTTTTGTCTGACACACCCACCACCCTAGTTACCATCACTTCTCATCTGAACTATTAAAGATACATGAAATTCCCTGAAGTTTCTTCTTTTTATAATCCATCCTATTCCTAAATGACAAAGTGATATCCCTAATGAGGATGACTGTGCATGTCACCCTCCTAATCAGTAAAGTCCAGTGGCTCCCTGTTGCTTCTAGGGTAAAATACAAAC